CGCATTTGCTTGTCGAAATACGCATATTGGTTGTGAATGGATGTATTTTATTTAAGCATTTTTGATGGATACGATCGTCTTTTTATGATGTGTGGGTTTTACTACGGCTTTGACCAGGTTATTTACTGCACAGTGTATAATATACTTTGTAATATACTTTACTGTAGATGTTTTTGTACGAAACTGCTGGTTTGCTTATCGTTTTCAGTGGCTCTGGCCCAGAGGTAAGGATACGCACGTTTTGTTCGATGTCATGATTTGGCTAAGATATAAATTTAGATCTTCCACAAGATGCAGAAAGTTATTTGACTCTCGTTGAAAACGAGAAAATGAATAAAGAAGTCGAAAGACATTTTCTCCTCGTTTGTATTGTAGAAACAAGAGCAAGACATGAGATGTATTTTAACTCCATTGGTAACAAGATTTAATGCAGTCCTCGATAAGGTTTGTTTTTGTGCAAGATGGCGCTATTTTTTATCACTTGATAACGCTATGACGCGGGCTCAAATAGAGTTGGAAAATTTCATTCATACAACTTGTTTTGATTCTTAGAGTGCCCCTATCAGCAAAAATTTTTATTAGTGATATCAAAACTTGATGTAATATCTTACATATCGGTAAAAAAAATTTTCAATTTGGTCAAATTGTCTTCTTGTTATGGAGGCTTAAAGCTGTCTTCAAATGGACCTTGTCCTTCGTTACATGAAGTCTGGGTCTAGGCAAATTCTGACGTCATCCAAGGTAGTCGGTATATATATTTTGTATTGAGGAATTCCTTGCATGACGTCACAAAGGTAAGTCGTTCCAGACTTTTCGAACGACGGACAAGGCCATTAATAGGAACTATTTTGCTAACTTTAAATAGCAATAAAAATGGAACGATATGACAAACTTAAAAACTTTTTTCACTGATACGTTGAAAATCACACCTAAATTTAATATCGCTAAATTTTTGTTGAAAAGGGCACTTTAAATATACATAAATATACATTCTTATATATATAAATTTATAAATTCTTATTTATAAAATTTATAAATTCTTATATATAAACTTATAAGAATCATTTAATAAGTTCTATTGTGCTCTTTTTCCCACTTAACTGCCTAAAGCTTCTTATTCACTTATACAAGTTACTTCATGTTGTATAGTAGATTACACATCTGCATGTAATAGTGTATCGGTATTGATATGTTGTAAATACAATGTTGTTTGTATCTACTTTGTTCATAAAAAGGTGGAATGTTAGACATGCATGTTGTCGCTTTTCAGAATTTTTAAATACTCTTTTTTTTGAAATACGTACACTGTTTTATTTCGATTTCACTGTCTATTATGCAGGTATTGTAGTTTACTGTTTTCTGTCTTCTTAATTCCGTGTATTCATGCAGTTAAACAGAAGTAGTTTGAATGAAGAACAGTTCTTACCTCACGCGCAATGTTTATTCCACATGGCGTCATTTGCAAGGTGAGGCGTCTTTTTGTCACAAGAATCATCAAGTCACATAAATAATACGTCATTAGTTCTTCGATTTTGTCTAAACTTTCACATGTCTATTCTAGTCGTTTAAGCAAGGCGTTCTCAACCCAACAAACTATGAAACTATGCGGCTGCACAACGTGTTTCTCGGAGGTGCGTTGTAGCTAATTGTTAAACTCTTTCTTGTCTTTGTGGCTTATTGTTAGATGAAAGAGCGGACTGTCTATGAGATGATGTTTATAACATGTATAATCTTGCGATTACAGATTTTGCCAGTTTTCCTACGTGCTTTGACCGTCCGCATTCATCGAGATCTTATTCACTCTGGCGTGCGGCAATACCTTCATCGAATGATAATATGTCTTGGCGAAGATGTTTTACCGTACATTCCCGTCGCCGTTACACATTTGCTTAAAGATCCAGAGGTAATTTACCCATCAAAATCATTTCTCTTTCATCTTTTGAAGTTAGGAGGAGAAGTTTTGTCAAATTTTATTTAGCGTAGTTTCTCCAATGTAAGAAAGTTGACATTGGTTTTATTCTCCGCATACTTTTAAAGGCCAAAGATATCCAAGAGTTTATTCCTTTGATTAACCAAATCATATCGAAATTTAAGGTGTGTACATAATAATGATAATGCTCTCTTGAACTTACGAAAGCACTATTTTTCCATTCTGGAGATTATGAGCTTAACGAGTGCATATTTTTTTTTAATATTAGAATCATATAACTCCATTTCTTCAAGAAATTTTCATGCCGATTGTACGTACCATATTTTCCGTTATCAGTCGACCTACGGACTCTCTTGATACACAGGTATACATAATTATCCTCAAGTATTTTCTTCTCGCGCATACGCGACAAGAATGGATCAAGGATGATTTTGGTTGGTTTATTTTGGATAAGATTTCTGTGGCTACTTTTTGGTGTTGTATTGGCATGTCGAACTTTTTTCTTAGTCTGTTGCTCTCATGCGTACCATGATTTCAAGATATTTTTTGAAAGTGTGCTTCGTTAAACACAAATTACAATTGCTTTTGCTTCCATCCATGATACATCCTGACATTAACCCTCTCCCTTATTAAATCCATCCATGATACATCCTAACATAAATCCTCTCCCTTATTAAATCCATCCATGATACATCCTAACATAAATCCTCTCCCTTATTAAATCCATCCATGATACATCCTAACAAAAATCCTCTCCCTTATTAAATCCATCCCTGATATATCCTAACATAAATCCTCTCCCTTATTAAATCCATCGCTGATATATCCTAAGATAAATCCTCTCCCTTATTAAATCCATCCCCCACCCATACATCCTAATACAAGCTTTTAAAAAGGTTTCGAAACTGCTCTAACGTAGAAGATTTTATTTCCGTGCTCTCTTATTTTCCTCGGCTGTTTATGATCTTTTGAAGGCAACAAGAGAAAAAATGTCGTTAAAGAGCAGCTACATTCATTTCATCGCCTGTCTTGTGAACAACAACGTTGTCCAAGTTATACTCAACCAAGGTAAGTAAGATTTTTGTATTTTCCTGTATGAATGGCAACACTGTAAGAATTCAACGTTTCTTCTTGTGATCTTTCCAGAACCGCAGAACACTAAGGAGGTTCTCAATACTATAATTCAAGGCGCAGTTGATGCTACAGACCCCGTCGTAAGTTCAACATATTCTTGCAAATGGAAATTAAGTTATAGTCTTGAGCGTGTCTGTGATATCTAAATGATTTTCATTGAACTGAATACTTAGCTGCTAGGCCACCGTCCTTCAACATTTAAGCTAGAATTTAACTAGTCCCAATCTCCACACGCACTCCCAAAAATATGTTCAAGGTAAAATTTTTCTTAATGCAAGTTTAGGATTGTTTTTTTACTCAAAGATGGCCTTCCACTTTTTATATTTAGCTCAATGATCATTTCCAAAGTAATGCTTCTTGTAAATGAACTTTGATCCTAAGTTCTGTTCAAATTTTTATATGCGATGCAAGAGTCAGTTTATTCCACCCGTCCAGACTAAAATTTGAATATATTTATGCCAAATATTCCAATGTAGTGTCAGAAATCTTGTTTCGGAATATTGAAGAAACTCATTGAGATTTGGGGTAAGAAGGATATTACAATATTGAGTGCTCATATGATTGTTTTGTTTTATTTACAATTGTGTTATCTTGTGATTTGTTGCTTTAATATCTAAATGCATATCGATGCTCGAAATTTATCTTATATCCAAATCCCTTTAGACGGCTCCAACGGTCCACTTGCGTTTCAAGACTTCATCACCAATAACATTATCCCATCATGCTTTGTGGCGCCATCCAAACCCGAATTTGATCTGACGGACGCGCAAACCATGCTTGTACGTCTAACGGGATTCGCTGACTTATGTTCTCATGTTTTACGAAAAATAATGTGTTTTTGATATAAGCTACGGGATATTCTCCATTTTCTGATTTCATTGTAGACGCTACAGGAAATTGCTATCGTACAGAAAACCATTCATCAAAAGCAGGTACGGTTGTATTAAGTCAGCGTTAGTTTTGTGCAAAATCTTGGTGTTTCAACGGCTACTACAGTGATTATCTTTCCTTTAGGGTCAACAGTTTGTTCATTTTTTGCAAAGCAAGTACTTACCATCGCTCAATCTTACTTCTGAAATGGCTCAGGTGGGTTGTTCGTTTACTTTATCGTCGTCAAACACATGGCATACAAATCCAGTTGAAAACATTGATCTGCACATATTGACGATCAATTATTGTACATGCGTAGTTGAACTAATACGCGAGGAATGTGTAGAACTCGACCTCATAACGTCTGTATATTTTTTTTGTATTTTATCAGGAGTATTGTCGACATGTGGAACAGGACGACGTTAAACAATTTAAAAGTTTCTTAAAGGTAGTATTTGAAATTCAAACATCACTATTTCGAAATAGTAGATTGATGCTGGTATGAAATAGCCAAACTAAAGCCCAATCAGGGTTATTCAACCTTTTTGTGCACCTCTTCTTTTGATCATGGATTTAGAGAATTGACTTATCTTAATATCAGGAACAATTATTTTGATTAGAAGGAAATTTTTATGTGTTCTGCTTCTATGCAATGATCCAAGAAAATTACCATGAAGTTTGTTTCGATTTTTTAGGCGTTTTTTAACAGTTTTAAATCGTGACAGTGGTTCAAGCCAGTTGTCCAATGATCGGTGTGAACTTCAAAATGGATGAGAGTGCTCGATTTTGAACTTTTTTTTATTTGAGAGATTTGTCTAACTATGTATAAAATACATGGTTCAGGCTGGTGAATTTCACCCGGCTGTTTGCAAGCTACCATTTGGTGTGTTTTTAAAGCGTTTTCTATGCGCTTCGTAACAGTTTTTTATACATATTTTGCAGTTTACGCCCTAAGGTGTGTTGATCTATTTCCGAAACACTTAAGATTTTTCGGCCGAATATCAACTTGTTTTTAAACGTAAAAGAAAATAAGAAATATCGCCTGATGGTACCCTACAAACAGCTTTTTGTCTTACTACTATTCCAAATTATGTAGCGAACATGAAGTATGGTACTACTGGGACTTCCCCTGTTATTTTTAAACCAAATTACATCACTCTACTGACTTTACCCTGCAATATCATATGCACGTAAAATCAACGCGTTTAACTATTGAAATTCTTAATGCTTGTGTGAAAAGCTAAAAAGCTCTGATGCGTTTATGTAAATGTTGTTTTTACGTCTTAAGAATTTGAAATGTGAGAGGAATTCAATATTCAATATATAATACACAATTTGTCTAGAATGTACATTTAAAATAAATACGTAGTCTTTTTTGGTACATGTAACTTCCGGTTATATATGTCTACCAACTCGTCTGTTGTGTTGTAGCTGAAATTTTGTCGAAACCTGGTCATTTTAACGCGAAAGGACTGCTTCATCAGCCATTTTAAAGAGGTGTGTTCAGCTCAGTTGTTTTGCTAAGTCTACAAACCCAGATTATGCTTTGAAATTTCGTATTAAAAAATACATATTGAATTTAATGACTTGTTTACATTTTGACGATATTTAAGTCTTTCGCTTTTTTCAGTGTATCTTTAAATAAAATTGTTTTTCTTGGATTATAGAACATGCGAAATGTTTCTTTAAACAGAAATATCGAAGTTTGTACGTAGAACTAACCTACTTTGAAATTTTAGATTGATTGTCTTTCGAAGGGAATCTTGTACATAGTATTGTGAAGTTTAGTTGAGGAAGTTGTTGAAATTTTAAACTTGCATAGCGCCTGTTAGGGTAAGGTGCCATGCTACTGTTTACCATTAATCTTCATCGAAACCCTTTCATATTGTTAGCCGTAATGACCCTGAATTTTATGCCAAGATGAGATAATTGTTATACTGAGAAAGTAGCTATTATACGATCAGGAACCTCTGTATTTACATTTTATTTATCTCTCATAGGTCAAATGTTTGAAATGAGAAATCGTTTTGAAAGCAGAAATTACTTTTGGTATAATGACGTTGAACTTGGTCATGGTGCTACCAGTCGTGTTTTTCGATGTCAGCACAAGGTATGAAATGCAATGGCTTGATCTGTGATCAAATATCTAACACATACAAATGCAAACTGTTGCTTAGTGGTTTTTTTGCCAACCTTCCAACTCTCTCGGTCTCATCTCACAAACTTACTGTTTAGCCTCGAAATCTTGCACATTTTTGCAATAATTGCACAAATGATGATCTCAATAAAACAACCTAGAGCTGTATTCAGTCTTATGCTTTCCTCGTTTTTTCTTTGTTCGATTAACTTGAATTATAATTTTATGTATAATTACTATAGAGTAACCTTTGATGCTACAATGCATGTTTTTTGTTAAGGTTAGATATGCAGAAAGTAAGCTCTTCAAAACAGAAGATACTGCTGTTGATAATCCTAAAAGAATTTCAACTATTTGGCTATATTTGGCATCTGCTCTTACTTCCATTTAGCAAAACTTAAGAACTACTAACTGTTGAAGTTTAAGACTATCCATTACTTTTAGTGTTGATATTTTTTCATTTTTTAAGGGTTATCGGGGGAAATATTTGGGTATAAGGGAATATTGCAGGATTTGATGACCAAATCTCAAGTTTTGAGCAAGGCATTATTTAAAATCTCAAGGTTCTCAAATTTATGGGGTTGGAAGGTCTGCTTATGTGAAAACCGGAAAAGAAGTGGAGAAGGCATGCAGGTGTACCTGATTTACTTTTTGGTTATAATGCTTTAGGAAACAGGGAAGGACTTTGCTGTCAAAATCTTTAGTATTCAAGGGATGAATCGTTATGAATATCAAATGAAGCGAGAACTTGATGTACTCAAGAAATTGATGGATTGCAACCATCCGAATATCGTCAAAGTAATTGCAATTGAGAAGGAGGTAATATTGTGCAACTTATTCCTTCATTGTGTAAAAAAGAGAATCGTGTGATAAAACCATATTATTTATATGGTTCTACATAGATCTCTTCTTTTAGATGAAGCTCAATGAGCATGCCATAATAATGGAAAATTGTTCTGGGGGAAGTCTTTTTCACATGCTGGAGAGACCTGAAAATTCTTTTGGCTTTGAAGAAAATGATTTCAAACAAGTTGTCTTCGATGTTGGTAAGATTCTGCAATGAAACGTTTGAGGAGGCATTGTGGGGAGTGTATTGAAGAAACATTATATGAAGTATTCCTTTCTTGATGCATTAATCAACCTGATGTTGCATTAAACATTCCTACTGAGGTCATAATAAAGACGTTTAAACACCATGTCATTACTGTAACACTTTACTATCATCACCTGAAGGCTATATCATACAGTGACTGCAGTTCCAGTTCGCATCAAACTCAATGTTCCCATTTACATATGTTCCAATCACGCCATAAGCGAAGGAAGAAGGTTTGAGTTTGGGAGGGGGCTGAATCTTTGTGGTAATGAAGGTTTGAATGCACGAAGGGCCCAACGATGGGAGTGGAGGCGTTAAAGTGCTTTCCATCAAAAAGTTTTTGTATCATTTTAAAACTTATAGTTATTGGGCAATGCCAACTGTACAATATCGCAATGCTCCTTGTACCCAAAGACTTTTCTAGCCCTTCAGAAACGACAATAAAACTTTTAATCTTTTGACTTTTCATTCTCAATCAGAATGCTTCAACAACAAGAGCCGTAATGATCATCGTAGTCGTAGTAGTTATCAAGTAGTCACTTCAACAACAAGAGCCGTAATGATCATCGTAGTCGTAGTAGTTATCAAGTAATCAAAGTAATCACGAAATCGTGTAAACTTTCGGTTTTTATGGGGTGAGGGCTCACCCCCCCAACTTTACGTTCATACAAAGTTGTAAGGGCTTCAGCCCCAACCCCCTCCCCCTGGTTCCGGCACCACGCTCAGTTTCAGTCCTCTTCTTCACAGTTCACATTGCTCTAACTTTAGTTTGAATCCTCTCCACGTTAAATCTTTAGAGTTATTGCTCACTTCAAACTAAATTTTATTTTGCTATCCACTACTCCTTTAACTATAGTTCTAGACAACTTTTCATCTTCCTTTTCACTTCAGCACATGCCACACTTTTTGCTCCATAATTCATTTTAACCTGAGTCGATAAAAAGCATCGAAATGTCGCCTCCGGAAGATGGGAAAAAGTTCCTAAGTACTGAGCCTCCGACTCAGCTCTGGCACAACTTGGGCCTCCGGTGACCCCTAGATATATAGTGTAAATTTATGGTGTTTTATATCTATTTAAATATGTTTGAAGCATTCTAATCCTATTACAATTGAGTTCATCTTTTTAAAATAATGTATTTCTGTCTTAGTGTCAGGAATGAAATATCTTACGGAGCAAGGACTGATTCATCGCGATATAAAACCTGGAAATATTTTGAGATATATCAAAGACGATGGCAGGTGATCATAATTATATACTTCCTTCTTGTCATTTCAACATCTCCACTCAAAGTACAGCAATAAAACTCAAACTTTTGCGTACTTCTCTTCGCAGTTCCATTTACAAATTGACTGATTTCGGCGCTGCAAGAGAACTGGGACCTGACGAACTATTCACATCAGTTTACGGCACGGAAGAATACTTGGTATTGAAATTTTATTAAAATTGTCTTTGCCGTTAATGTTTACGAATCGGTTCAGTATACTTTACTTAGTATCAAAAACTTTGTGTCTGAGACTTTTCCTTTATTCAATTTATAGAATCTTTAAATTTTAATATTCAATTTGATTCATGATCCTGCAGGATCTTAAGGGATTCCGGTCGGAGGTTGTAAGCTCTTACAGTATCATTTCCTAGTGTCCAAAAATTTTAGCTTCTGACAGCTGTAGTAAGATCAACTTAAAAAGACAAATTAATTTCAATTCCGTTTGCAGAAGAAAGTATTTTTGAACGTATTTACGAGATTTTATTCACGGTTTCTGTTAGTTAGGATCCTGAATGCAAGATTGTATTTGGATTCTGGAAATTTCAGGATTATGACAGGATACAAACAGCTTAGCATTTAAAATTTCCCTAGAAAAACAGATATCTTAAGAATCTTAAAAAGTTTCCTTTCGTCCATTAGGATCCTGCGGGAACCTACATTATGGTCAGCTCTTTTTTGTTTGGGTTTGTTTTCAATACAATATTTTTTTAGCATCCTGACGTTTACGAAAGAGGAGTACTTAAAAGACAGGCCCCTAAACAATTTGGAGCTAATGTAAGACAAAATATTTTCTGTTTTTTTTTCATGCAAGGAAGAAAGAGAGTGTGTGTTGATGAATGCGCACATCAATGCATGCAATTATTATTGTAATATTTATACAATCCAAACATAGCTACTCTGAGAAAATGAATTGGAATAACGAGTCCATTTGTTTTTGTCGCTAATCTAGTTCAGGAATTTTGACTCATTCTAAGAATTTTGGACTACATTTACACTGCAATCTTTATCCAGATTGATCTTTGGAGTCTTGGTGTTACTTTCTTTCATGTTGCCACGGGCAAACTGCCTTTCAGAGCTTTTCAGAGTCGTGTGAACCGACTGAAGATGTGAGGGAAACTTTATTCATAAACTGATCTTAATTGCTGCTTCTTGTTGAGCTGTTGTTTGCTCAAAGTGGTCTTTTCTGCTTTTTCTACAGGTATGAAATCTTGACTAAGAAAAAACCCGGGATTATTTCGGGAATTCAAAAAGACGATAATGGTCCTGTTGAGTGGAGCGATAGACTGCCAGAACACACAAGACTTTCTCAGTGAGTCATCTAATTTTTGTATACGGCAAACCGTGAAATGCTTCAGTTGTTTTGGTGTAATGGTGATGTGCAGTTTTATTTTTTTGAATGGGGGTCACCCATAAACTTACTGAGTTCAGGAAAGCATGGCATGAGCTGTGTATTTTTTCTGGCCGAACCAAAATATTTCAATTTGTTTTGATAAAATAATGTCTGAAAACTTTCCTTTCTTTTACATTTTCCACGCACGAAGATCAATTAACGATGTGTTTTTGTACCATTTTGACGATATTAACCATTGAAGTATAGAAAATTGTCAAGATTTTTGGCAATTTTTTTCTCCAACAAGTTAAAACAAGAACGCAAAATAAAAAGCTCTGTGCTCTGTCATAGCAGCGAAACCTGTGCAAATTTTACTCCAGCACTTTTATGTATTTATTCACTGGAAAAATAACCAATGAAATAAATGTAGGTGAAGTTGTAAATATTGCAGATTTGAAACAGAGATTTAATGATTTTGAAGATTTGCTAAAAAATGTTCGTCGCATAGCAACTAAGGAGGTTCTCTTTTAAAATCACGTTCATACTTTTCACAAATTTATTGCCAGAGGCCTGAAGGAGATTCTTGTGAAAATTCTGGCCCGACTTCTCGAGGCGGACGTGGAAAAAGGAATGAAATTCAATGAACTTTTTGATGCTGTTGAGAATATCAAAGCAATGAAGGTATTTACCAAAAAGTTTTTCATTGAAACATTGTTGTTTTGTTTATTGTAGTTTTTGAGCGCTGTTTTTTTAATATTGTGCTTTGTACAGAAACACGAAGACTTTAGCTTTCACCAATCATTTGTTTAGGTAATCCACGTATACAGCCTGCATTCAGGAACATTTTATACTATTTACGCGAATCCCAATGACAAGTAAGTTGCTCTCCAGACTTTTGACTTTTTCAGTCTCGTTCGCGAGACGTAAATGTAATTAGTATCTTAGAAAATGAGGACTTTATCTCATTAACGAATCCATTTGTTTGGCTGTTAAAGCGTTCTTCATATCCAGTGAAGTTCATCGTGGTTTAGCGTATTTTTTCATGCGTGGAAAGCATTGACCTTTTTAGAAATATTTTTATTGCTCTCATTGCAATGTTTCACCTACTATATCCCTTCGTAGCTTTGCTCGTTTTCAAGAGCTTGTGGCCATCCAGACAGGAGTTGGCGCTCGTCAACAGGACTTGTTTTTCAATAATGACGTTTTCAAACCTTCTCCAATGGAAACCGTGTCTTCTTATCCGCTGACAAAAGTACGAATGAAAAAAGTTTACTAAATCAATTGAACAAAAGTTATGGTGCTCTGCCCAAGACTTAAGCTTGTATTTTGAACGGTCGCTTACACTTACACTGAACGAGTTCTACACAAAAATCTCGCTCCCACACAATCAACGGCAAATTCATTCCTTCAATGATGGCAAAATTATCGCTTAAATATTTCAAATCAAGCAATCAGTGTAGTGAAAATGCCGTCTTCCAATGGCTATGAGGTGTATGTGAATCGCTCCACTCTTTGAGTTTATATGTTTGAATGAGCTTTTAGAATACAGGCGATGGTGTGCAAGAGTAAGAAATGAAAACAATGCTTGATTTACGAAAGGGTGTCTTTCTAGATTTAATTTTCCATTGCAATGAATTTCAGGGAAAGTGTTGTGATCTATGTTAGTGTGTCCAATCAAAATTTTCTAAAGTTAACTTTTTACATCCATAGGTAAATCAACCTGTTCTTGTTCTTGGCGGCAATATGGTACCCTCGGAAAAACTGTTCACTCAACTTGATCGTGAGTATACTAGCCGTTCATTAATTATAATATGAATCTGCATCGCTATTAATATGGATAATATCTATCTCTGTCAAAGAATTTTCTCCAGTATGTCAACTTTGTAAATGTGGAGTTGTCACTTGTGTGCTCAAGTTATCGCGAAATGTTTATTTCTCTTAAGCCCACGAATAACTTACATGCCAAGCGTGAACTTCCTTTTAAATCATATCTTTATTTATACTCTACACCAGTGAAGACGACAAAGTTTACTAAACCTTTTACTTTGAATGATTTGCAACAAGATCATACTGTCAGCAAGGTATTAATCGTTGAAAAGCTAATAGTTTTTAGCTCGTACGAGGTCTTCTCTATCATCTATTTCATTAAGATTACAGCAAAGAGCATCTATCGTTGTTTGTACGACGTTAAGAATCTTGAGCTATCGACGGAACTGATGTTGGCCGCTGCTGATAATGTCGTGTGAGATGATATACTTGACGAGATAAATTGTTTCCTGATCCATGTTGAATGTTCCAGGCCATTTACGTTTGTTATGAACTGTGTTTGTAGTATGTTACTGAGAAGGAAGGCAAAGAAGTATTTGGATAGTGCCAAAGCAATCGAGAATCATTGCCAGTGTATTGTGATGAAACATAAAACACTTCTCAACGGGTGAGAAAAAACATCATATGAGAATTTGTCGCTCACAGGCAGATGTGTTTTGACGTGTAGTTTGTTGAATGGTTGTGGGAAATGTCTTGGTATTTGGCTCTAAAATAATTTCATTTCTATTTTGTGCTTTGATGAAAGTTGCGATTTTGAAGTGGAAGTCTTGCAGACATTGGGTGATGATAAAGATATACCTGAAAGTGCGTTTGATGTTGCTGGTTTTTGGCTTCTTTTTCGAATGAAATTTTCCCCTTTGTAATCAGTTTTCTCTGTCTTCTTTTAGAAATTGTGAACGAGTTAAAGATTTTAACGAAGGAGACGGAAAGTTTCAAAACAAAAATGGAAGCGGTAATATGAAATTGTAGCTTCTTGTTCGGACAACGTAATAAAGTAGAATATTTTTGCACTTTATGGTATATGCGACACGACGGTGTTTTCATCGCTTTATTAAGAAATGAGAACATTGTTAAGTAGAAGCTCTTTTTCAAAACGAGCTCTCTGCAGTAGGGGTCAGAGCCCTACTTCACAAAGAGTTGGGACACCGGAAGTAAAATCGCGTCCGCCAAAAGCCAGCAAATATAGAGCATTAAATGGTGGAAAGACAAATTTTCTGTTGTCTTTTCTTATTCATGAATAGACAGTGATCACTACCTTTAGAATTCAGTTGTTTATAGATGTCATAATAATAAAAAAGCATTTATTTCATGCTGTGGGTGTAATTTATCCGCCTTTATTACTGTTTTTGCCACAAGGAAGCGCGTAGATTTCTAATCATTGTAAAAAAATTTTGTAATTTATCTCCTGTCAAAAAGATGGTTATAATTCGCGCTTTTGGACAAAAATGGCGGCTAGTTATCCATGTGACCATATTTACCCAATCACCATGATAATGATGCGAAATGCAAAGAACAATACGTGTCCCAACTCTTCCAAATACAGGGCTCTATTGATTCAACCACTAAATGACTGGCAATACCATAATGCATTTGGGCCTTGACGCTGTAAAAAAAGAGAAGTTTTGTTTTGCTCTATGACTGTCGTATTTATGGCGTTATCGTGGAACATTTTATCTCGCACATCCACGTTGATTCGTATATTCTCTTTTTAGCTTCAAATGCAAATGGCTGAACCATTGAAGCTGTTACAAACGACCGCGCAATCTCTTCTGCTAGAAAACGAACTGACGAAACTATGGGAGAACATGAACAATGTCGGCGAGGCTAAAAATTAGTGAGTAAACTGTTGATATAGATTTGTTTGATCTTGGTCATGAGAATGCCTGTTCACTCTCTCAGATGAAAAAACAGTGCTATTAATGATTCTTCATTGTCAATGTAGTACGAAGATCGTCGAGACGTACGCCCTAAAGGTGGAGAAAATCGTGTATAGTTTTGGTTGTCGTTCTCAAAGAAAACACCGTAAGTGAATACATATAATGATGTTCAAGGCATCGAGACATGGGTTCGATTATTTCATCCGATAAGTAAATGAGAGAAGAGTAGCAAACTAAGATTTTTGTCATCAGCATATGCGCTGAGAAATGTTTACGCTAGTTAAAATTGTTTTTATCGCATCGAATCTTTGGTACTTCTGAGTTACAAAATATCTCTCTGATACATTGGGTAAGTACTTCAAAAGCAAATAAAACAAGTGCGCAAATCTGTTTTGGAAAGGGGGGAGTATCTCAGGTTCTGTTATTAGAGTCCGTTTTGCTTTACAGTCTGTACTCTATTTATTTACTGAAAAATGCGGGGCTCATCCCCTCCTTCCTCCCTCCCTTGGATTTGCGGCCTAAAAATGAAATTTGATTTCATAGTGATTAAGTTACTGCGCATAAAACCACAATTGCAATATCTTGTCCATGTTTGTATAAATGACAATGTCTTAAAAATGCGTGAAAGATGCACCCTAGCCTATTGCGATGGCTATCTGTCATTCGGTTTCTTGATCAGGAGCAAAACCTTGTGGCATAAAGTTTTTTATAACATAGAAACTACGTTTATAATATACCTTACTATGTTTAAATCTTCCGTAGAATGTGTACAAAGTGACTTAGAAGATCATAAATTTGAAAGGTAAACTCCGCTGGTTTGACGAAACATCATGACGAATAGCATTTATGCAAATTTATTCATTTCAAATCATCAACACTTCTCGCAAAGTTTCTTATGTTTGTCAGATGTTTCGATCAATTTGCTTACTGAAAAAATAACTATACCTTAAACAATTCAAATAAGCTGTTTCAAAAGAAAATAAGAACCAGTGAAAAGTTACATGCATTATTGTACGTTATCCTATGTGTAGCTAGGTACGTATCTAGCAGCACTTTTCAATTTTCACTCATTCAATTCACGTGTTCATTCACATGGTTGTTTTTTTGTCCATTACAAAACTTTGTTAAATTTAAATTTAACAAAACTTTCTGTCAAATGTTAGTTGAACTATACGGCCAACTGCATTAGGCGACAGTAAATATATTTTGAACAAAACGAATTTAGATTAAGTGGATGTGTTAGTGCACTAGTGTTCATAGTGTTTGATCTAGGCACATATAGGTACATAAACTTTTCAGTTCATTGTATTCATGCAAGTGATAATACATTTTTTGGCGTTATACATTTTCCCACCCCGAATAAAATGCAGGTAAACGAAGAAGAAGGATTATCTGAAACAAAAATTTCTAACTTTTTTTGTCGTTCCTCTCCGTGTGCAGATTGCGTCTTCTGGAATACTTCGAAAAAGCCAAAGAAGTGTTGGAGGAGTGTCAACTGAGGCGACAAACTGTGCACGACAACTTTAAGAAATGGCTAGAGTAAGTTCACGAGGAAGGTCGACACGAATTTTTGTGTACGATATTGCACGACAACTTTAAGAAATGGCTAGAGTAACTACACGAAGAAGGTCGACACGAATTTTTGTGTACGATATTTCGAATCTGCATGAGAAGATTACGTGATTTTTGTGATTTCTGAAAAAACGAACGTTTAAAGCACACGTTTAAAACTTGATCTTTTTCACCTGTTATATGTAGAACTGTTTTTGATCGCCGAAGTAACCTGAAAAAAAGGCGAGAAGAGTTGGAATCCTTCGCCGACATGTTTTCTGCTCTTTCTGTTAGCGAAGAACAGGTTTGCCATTCAATGATATAGCTAAAGGTGTTTTTCTGAAGGCCTTTTATGATACAACTTTGACATGCCGGTTTATCTTAACATGCACTTCGAAATGGAGTTTGATAATTTTAGATGTAGGGTAGCCTGTCTTGCAGACCATAGTGTGCAGGCGGTGATTTTGTTTTAATTATTTCTCATAGTGGCGGGCCAATCACATGACTAGGATGAAAAACATCTTGAGCGAGGTTCGTTCCCAGGTTCGTCGTGCAATCAGCGTGCAAAGCAATTCATCTGACCAGCAGTATGTCGACAAAGACGATTTGCCGAACGGACGAAAGGGGGCGGAAATCAGATCTGTTTTCATTGAGGACATAAATGAACAGTAAGAATTTAATTTGTGCGTTTGATTTGTACGGTTTACGACTTGTCGTTGACATGTTTTTACTTATTAACGGTCTATATGATTCACACTGGAGGCCCTTACTGAACTGGTGATTACTCCAGAAAACACAATGTTGTTTAAATTTTGACAATTGTTGCAGGATTCAGTTAATAAATCATGGCGGTATACATTTTTTCATTTGTTCCAAAAGGACATAAAATCGCTTACAAACAATTTGCCTAAATTTTTATTTATAGATTGCTTCAACTATCAACAGAGACACACGAAGCTAAAAAACAATTGCAACAAGGAACGGAGACTTTTCAAAAGTAAGAACGTATTGGATATTGAAGTGCGTACAGAATGAGAATTTTCTGAATTATGGAATCTACAATGTTTGGAAAACGTCTTGTCTGTAAACTCCAAACTGCAATTGCGAAATTGCTATGTTGAAGTATTTTTGAAATGATTTGTTTTAACATATGAAACTATTGACCCTCACTGTTGGAAGTTTTTAAAATCTTTGCAAACTTTGTCTGCAGTAATGACTGTCCGCATTTATTTAGATTTGTCCAAGATCTTTTGGATGAGCTTGGTAAGAAGAAGAAAGAAGCTGACGATTTGTGAAGATTTGATGTAACACAGCGATGAGTAAAACATGAAAATATTGTCTATATATTGTACAATGGAATAATAATCTTTGTTCAGTTAAATGTTACGTATGGATAGAGAAATAATTAGGTTGTTTTCGGACCATCTTTGTTCGAAGTTTGTGATTTGACGTGTATAATATACATATGGTTTTAATAGTTATCATCAATTAAATCAAATTTTTAACATTTTACTCAGGCGCCTCGTTTAAAGTTTTATTCAGGGATCGCGTATCTGACGCCTCGTTTGAATATAGCGTAAGGGATTTGAATGTAAAGAAGCTCGTAGAGGATTAAAATCTTCACACTGAGCGAGAACACTTGATCATGAACTCTATTAAAACTTTATTTGACCTTTATAATTTTACAATGAAAAAATCCAATTGGGTTAACAAACTTTAACATACTTTATAAGTGATCTGGTATACATAAAATGGCGAATTGCCGAGCTCTTCAAAAAACTTCTTAATAACATTATAAAAGTGTAAAAGTCTGAATGTAAGATACCATTCGCCATAATATTTACAACTTTTTTGAAATTTTGTCATCATTTGCGCATAATCAAAATCATTATTTCGTGAGACCAACAAAATCCCATCATTTAACGCTATATATGCAATTTCTGTATTGATTGGTTAACCAATTGAAAATGCTTTACATCGAAAATTCGAAATGTTTTATTTTTATTTCAGTTAGTTGAAATGAATAATACGTGAAATAAGTATTAAATTCAGTTTTCGGATTGTATCTAGAATTATTGATGTCAAGAATGGGTGTTAACTTCTGATAACGCCAACGTCTGTCTAGATAATTCTTCATGCAAGAGCAGCGTCAGCACTGCCCTTCTATTTACGAAATGTGAAAGTTATCTTGAATTAACCTTGGTAAAAATCGTATTATATTGTTACGGGTTGGTGAGTTATTTCTTGTTGTTGTGAGTTTACATGATTTTGTTACACTAAAACTGACTAGGTAATGCACTTTTAATTTTTTAACAGGTGCCATGCAGATACCTCAAAGAATTAAGCAGCTGTACCTGCAATGACTAAAGATGAAGCTGACGTACTGTTTAACGAAGGAGAATATTCTTTTATGAGGATGAGTTTTATTCACTTGGAAGTATCAGTCCATATTAGCTGCATTCGATATATCGCTTACGATTCAAGGGAAGAGAAAGAGTTTGCGGAAAATATTGAAATTGATCCATAAATTTCTTCTGAGGAAGTCCTGAAGAGCATACTCTAGCACCGGGAACGACTAATAGAGATTTTTTCCAGCTCGTAAAAGATATTGAACAAACCAACTTAAGAAAAGCACTTTTTAGGCTTCGTCCAGATGAATGTCTAGGAAGCAAGTTCCTCTAAAAATAATTGGAAAGGGCAAACTTAACTACAACATCAAATGTTAACAAAAAATATAGGAAAAGATGTCTTAAAGCAAAACATAATTTCCTGTTTGAGGATTAGAGCAAGATAAAATGTGCTCTATAGGATATAATTTCTCAAGAATTAGACAAAATGACCTTATTTGGCTCAAGTGATCACGCTCTAACTGTTACAGAGTATCTATCTTTGCAAAATTGTTAAGCCATATAATGCGCTTTAATGTCGCTCATTGGTCATCTGCGGATGTAATTTTATTGTGATTTAGGCAGTTTGTTTTAACTTGGGTTTCAATAATGACGAGGACGGGACACAGAAGCACCGAATACGGCCGTTCAAAAGTACCAATGTGTTTTGATAGAGGAAAGAAAAAGCCCTGTTGTAACTCTAAGACAATATATAGAGGTAACTAACTTAAAGGCATAGTAAAAAAAAGCTTGCCAACCAGTGGCATAAGTCTGAACCGGCCTGCCTGTGGTCCTTCCAGGATGGGGTGCCCCAACTCTGAAAACATGAACATAACATAAGTTGGCATGGCATTGTCTAATTAATTTACGTTTTGAATTAATATTGGATGTGTTCTTTAGTGTGTAATGGGCATAAATTAATTTTAATACAAATATAGATTTACTGTTTCTGCGCTTTCTTGTTTTTTTTTATAGCTGCCGACTGTTTTTGATTTTTTATACATAGATTTAATAATAGCTAGAGAATATAATCACGTGTGGTATATGGGGTTAACGGTTGACATGCCTAATTTCATACACATGCGACACGAAAACTTGTAATGCATGTAAACAATATCATTAATTGCATCACAATACTATTTAAATATGCCACAAATTTTAGTTAAATGTGCATGCATAAATGTGCGTGTTCCGCTTTTGTTTATTTTTTTTTGAGACAAAAACAGGTTGTCTCTAAAAACTGCTCATCTTTGAAATCAGTTAACGTATATAATTTGCATGATTTTGCTGTAAATGATTAAAGAAATTACGTACGAAATGCAGCTCTTGTAATTGAAAATTTCAAGCTTTAAACTTATTTCAAGTGCGTTTTCGTAAAGATTAGAGAATGATGACGTGTGTTCTACGGGATTTAGAGTTCCGAGCATTAGGCCTGTTTCAAACGTCGCGTTTTACATGAGCCGAATGCATTTAAAGCAAAAGATAATGAGGAATTTTCTCCCATTTTGTTTTGTTGACATATCAAATCGTATGAAAATATTGCATTTATAAATGACGTTCCAAGCATTTTAGTTTTAACAATTCCAGATATTTTATGTCGTTCTATGTTTTAGTTCAGTTTATAACAACACAATAATGACATAGAACCACTGGATAGTGAATTTTGTTTCAGACTTCTTCATATGCATGGATTTTCAACTTATTTGGTGTTTCTCTAATGACGTTTGCTTTCTTTCTATTCTCTTTATTTATTGTTCTAAAGATCAACATACCTTACGGATATTATTTTCTTCATCAACTTCTAAATTCTCCGTATTCTCCATGTTGTCTTTGTTGCATGATTCAAATTCTCAGACAATAATTCAATAGTTTTTTCATGTTGTGCTATTGTAAGCCAGGCTAACAGTTGACTTACAGTTAGAAGACATGCAAATAACAGAGCTAAGTTAAATACAAATAATGGTACTTGAATGTATTTTCTCTTTCTTGATTGTTTCTCTGTTTTATCTTTAAAGCTCATTTTAATCATTTTCTTCACTTCAATATGACGTTCACTTGATATATGAAATGATTAAAATGGTCACTTTGTGCACATTAACCTTTCTTCCTGGAATATAATTCTTTACAAATTTAGATTGTGCTCTTTAAAATACAATAGTGATTACACACAGATATGAAAATGTAGATGAATTTAACAGCTCTATTTGTGGTAAAACGAAAATACCGGCCGATAAAACGGCCGTATTAAATCATTGTTTCTTTTAAACTTTTGTCCATTTAATGATTGCATGAAGTTGACTTATGTAATTATTTTATATACTATATCTTATCGTTTTCAAGCCGCGACTCGAAATTGCGTATCATAATAATGTGAAATAAATCACAAAGACCCCCATCGACTTTGTAAGAACACTGACAATGTTGTTTTTAATTTTGTTATTGTTCAAGCCTTTTCAAAGACCTTGTCATATGTGAAGTGTGAAGTCATTTACATTTAATTACTTTATGCTTCCCTCAAGGTTAGACTTCTTTGCATGTTGCACAATGTCAGTCGGTCGAAGAAATTCCTAAGAAAACATAAGTATATAATCCAGGTGCCCTAGATCGCTTGGCTACAAAACTTTGTTGAAAGCCATCTTTATGAAGACTAGTATTTGCGACAATCAAATTATCTTCTTCTCTTTTCCCTTTTTTATACATACTAGATTTATTAAAAACGTGATTAGTGTTATTAATAAGTTAACATTTATGATAAAATTACGTGATTGAAATGTCTTTCAGTCGTAGGATTCATTATAGTTAGAAAAACATGTTTTACATCATTGAACATTGAAGAAAGCATTTTCCTACCTCCTGCAGCAAATAAATCAATACGATTTGCATGAATACTACAAAAACAAAAAAATTTTATCATAAAATATCAGAAGGAGAGAGAGCTATAACGTTCGATCTGTAAAATGATACTAAAATCAGTCAGCATCAAATCATGTGACTATTGTTTCATCAATATGATCACATGACTTTGCATAAATAATGCGTTGAACCAATCAAGAACTTTCTTGAATGGTTTCACATGTGTGCGCACCTATGGCACACGTACCCCAGAATAAGATTAACATAATAAAATGCCACAGTACCGTGAATGTTGTTATAGGTGTCATATTGAGCATTATAAGCAAATAAACCCTGACTCAGGTAGCCATATTGAACGCCTGATAGGCGTTTATTATCATGTTTTTGAAGTTCAGTCGTTTGAACGCTCTTTTGAAATCGCCATTCCCAATAGTTTGAGTTTTATTGAGAAAGAAGTGGGGCAGTGTCTAGTATGCGGATGTATTTGCTTCAAAATTACGCATACTAGAGGAAAATAATGCGCGCTTTCTTGACTGACTACACTAGCTTTGCTTTCGACTGTAATTCCTCCCAAAATATTACAATAATGATAGCCATGGGTTTTGCATTATTTATTTTCTTTGGGAAAATCAACATGCAAACAAAGATGAAAGAGAAACAAAAACCATTTGTTTCTCATGGTATCGATTTTTTCATATAAAGAAAATATGCAAAAGCTAGAAGTTATTTCATATTGATAACGTGTGTGTCCCAGCATCTTCGTGTTTCCTGTACTTTGACGCAGCCGAATTCAACCAAAGTAAAACAATTATGAAATTTCCATAAGTTTAGAAGTCGATTTATTATAATCAGAGTCGAAAGTTATTGCTTTTTTATGTAGTATAAGGAATTTTGTCGTGAAAGTTAGTTAGTTGCTTGCTAGCAGCAGTAATATTCGCAGTGATATTCGAAACATCAGCAATCATTGCCTGAATAAGTTACTAAATATTTTCTTAAAATGCCACGCAAAATTAGAACCTCCTGTGGCTTTTGTTTGAAAATTAGGGAAAAACTATTTAACCCCGTATATCCTTTGAGTTGAGACTAGCAAGATCAGTATAATAAGACTCGCAGAAGTATCGGGAGACGTTTTTCGCGTGAACAATCGTGTATCTTAAGTAGTTACAGGTGTGTAATAAGAATAATGATGTACATACGTATTTGTTAAATGGATGAAAATGTGGGAAAATGATTTACGAACCGTTTAATGGGCACCAAAAACTTTATCATTAA